TGAGGGTTTTCTTCTGTTGAGTAATAAGGTAAGAGATATCACTGAAGAGAAGTGACAAAAGGAGCTCACATTCTAGTCATTCTCACCTTGTAAAGCTTGCTCAACAAGTCCTTACTTTTCACCTGAACCAAGTCATATAATAAACATGCAAGACGTCTTCACAATTCCTGTCCTCTAATGTTATTATGAGTGCATAAACGAAGCCTGGTTCTTTAGCTGTTGTGTTTTGGGGGAAATACTATAATGAAAAAACAGCAACATTACTGTGGAGGAGGGTGTGCTGGTAACGCACTGATCAAAGATAAGACACAGGAACATTTCCACAATCCTCTGGGACAAACGTCCGCTCATTTGTTTACAACCTCAACATCTAATGTACTTTTGTTTTGTGTTGTGCAACCTATATGTGTATGAAGGCCTTTACGGTGCTAGTGGTATATATTATAGTATATTACAAAATGCAAAACAATTTACTGATGTGTCTGATATGACGAATTGTTTCATGGTTCCAAAGCAAATAACACATATGATGCTATAATGCTAATACTGTATATGCTCACATTGTGTTTTAATTCTATTGAAAAAAAATCATTATGCTACACTATTATTCATTCAATAATTTTCCTTAGTCCCTTATTTATAAGAGGTCGCCACAGTGGAATGAACTGCCAACTTATCCAGCATACGTTTTTACGTAGTGGATGCCCTTCCAGCCACAACCCAGTACTGGGAAACACCCATACTCTCTCGCATTCACACACACTTATACACTAAGGTCAATTTAGTTCATCCAATTCACATATACTGCATTTCTTTGGACTGTGGGGAAAACCGGAACATCAGGGGGAAACCCACATCAACATGGGGAGAACATGTAAACTCCACACAGAAATTCCAAATGGCCCAGCCAGGACTCAAACCAACAACCTTTATGCTGTAAGGCGACATCATGTCGTCCCTAAACTTTATTATCCAAACCAAATCTCAAATATGTTACCATTTATTGAAATATTGTTGCATGTTGCTGTAAGTGTGAACTCAGAAACTGTGGTTTACAGTGTATTTTATGTTTTTAAAAGCTTAAATGTGTGATATAAACAATAAAGCTACGAAGATGGTATTCTTGTATGAAACCAGCAGAAGTTTAGACACGGAAATAATATATTTTCAATGTCATGACTTACAACAACACCATGTAGTGCATATAATTTGTATATTAATGCTAAAAGTCATTTTCATAATGTGTTTGTATTCATGTGTTTTCCTGAGGATCTGGTTCCCACACCTGAGGCATGTTTCATAAAGTGGTTTCAATTTTTACCCAGATAGCTTTTTGTTTAGCCTGTTTAAATTCTTGAGTTTTTGGGCTCAAGAATGTGGGTTGATGTTATTTCGGTTTTGATTCCATGGTAATTTGGAGTAAGGCTGGGCGATGTGGCAAAAACGCAATCTCGATAATTATTTTCCATATTGACAATAACAATATAAAATTTAATAAGTTGTTAAAGCTTCCAGATTTAAAAGATTACCCCAACAATGACTAAAGGCACAAAAATTAGAGGGTCCATTAAATTAAGTAACATTCGGCCGATAAATTCGGTACATCTCTAATACCAACACACTTTTAGTGTAATATGCACAATTGTTGCATATTTCTGCTGTGTGATAGGCTTTTAGATCAATTTAGAGTAAAATAGTTTAGAGCGTATAATTGTTATTGACATAAATTTTATTGTGATTTGATATAATATAATTTATCAGCCCAGCCCTAATTTGGACTACATGTCTATCCATTGCAGGTTATATTGTGGGTTAGAAATGCAAACCCAAAGTGGACCAATCAGATGTGACTCAAGTGGCCTATATCTGATGCAACAAAGCCACTCCCAGTCCTTGTGTATCTTTATCTGATTCTTAATCAGTCTGGATTTGTTTGGCTTTTTCAACTTTAAACCTACTCTACAACTCAAGAGTTTGTTTAGTTAGCTTCACGCAACCGACCACTGGTATTTCCTTATCTTTTGACAGCTGGGTGACATAATTTAGATTTAAATTTAGGCATGTAAATGTTTTTCTACTTATTTAAACAATCCACCTTCCTCTTGAGCTACTTAAATTCCAATGCACGTGTTACTCAGAACATGATGTGCATTTACTGTAGGCTAGGTTCTAGTCATAAGTATTAATGTTGACAAAACATTAATGGCGGTGAAGATGTTTCTCATAATAGCTGTAAAATTCTAGAAAAAAAAGTTCTCTAACTACAAAAACATGTTTGTTTAAATGCTATAGTTCTGTCTTAACCTAGACCTATTTCTTTTCAGAACTATGTTTTATTTTGGATAGAAATTAATGATCATTCTGCTACTTTGTAGATTCAGAATAAAGTTTTTGCATGTTTTAAAATTATAAACCACATAGCTGGGAGTCTAATTGACATTTCTGGAAACAACATTCCACACCAGAACAAATTATGATTCAATTCACAACACATAAACGCAGTGTCATCATGATGACAATTCCAGATATCAACAAAACCTAACCCAAGTTACATGTACAGTATATAAAGGCTGCAATTATGTGTACAAAACAAACATATTAGCTCAAGTATAGCATCCTATTATCCCAAGTCCTTACCAGCAAACTCTCCAAGTTCAACGGTGATTTCTGGTTCTTGATCAGCGTCTCTAGTTTTCTCACCCGGCTCTCTATTCTCTTCCCCGCTCCGGTCGACATTGCGGCAGCTCGGTGTCCTTAAGCTCCCGGTAAACATCAGATATCCAGCCGCGACTGAGAGACCTCAAACGTCCGAATCAAACTTGTCACTACCTGCCGTGACTCAACGCGACGCCTATTAAAACTTCCCAGTTCTGGATGAATGACTTCTTAAGCTTACAATCTCCACACACTATATGAATACGAGAAATGCAGTTGTTTTGTGTCCTAGGTGAGCTTTCCGCGTGCTTCTGTCAGCATTATACAAATCAAAGGTTACAGAAGCGCGCGTTCAGGAAGCTGTCTCCCCCGCTCCTGTTCAAAATTAAGTTACACCAGGGAAAACCTTCTATGTTAGAGGCTGTGTTGAAAATCTTCCCGACTGTTATATTTTAAGTAAATGAAGCAGAGGCAGAGATGAGTTCATGAATGTGAACGGCGTGTTTCTTTGTTGCAGCGCGCGTCCCTCCCCTGCGGACGCTGAAATTCTTTGAATCTTATCTCAGCCATCGCTTATACCACACAAACGTCACTCTCTAAATACGACCGATATACTACACGACTTATATTTTTAGCAGGCCGTGTATTTTTGATGGCACGCGTGGAGTTGTCCTATTCTAGACTACTTGTTCCATGTGTGTTTCGCAAATGTACTATGGTGCAATTTAGCAATTTAATAATGTGTCATAATGGCAAATAATATTGTATTGAATTATTATTATTATCATGTATTGGAAGTGAAAGATATGGCTGTTGTAATTAGATTTTTACTCAGTTAAATATTAAAATAGTTACATTTGTTAAAATGTGGACAAAAACTCTTATAGATTTTTATATTTTGGTAGATTACTATGTTAAAATATAAAATTTATGTTTCTTATAAACTTTCTTTACATGATTACAATCATTTTAGACAACACAGCTTGTCTGTTATTTGATTATTTTCTATCACAACAAATAAAGATAGCTGCAAGTAGCAATAAACAAGCTACAGAGCAACTGGAACGTTCTATAACATTTTAGCAGCACAGTCTGAGCCAAATTTGGTGAAAATTGGGCTAACGAACCATGGAGAGTTCCAAACAGATTTTCAAATTTATTCAACATGGTCGTGTCAATTAAGAATAAATTATCAATGTTCTCTATATGTCTCATGAGTCATGACAATAGACAAAACTATTCAAAAGTCATTTGATAAAATTTAAAATATTTCTTATGATAGATTTTATTCATTCATTTTTTTTTTTTCCGGCTTAGTCCTTTTATTAATCAGGGGTTCGCCACAGCGGAATGAACTGCCAACTTATCCAGCATATGTTTTATACAGTGGATGCCCTTCCAGCTGCAACCCAACACTGGGAAACACTCATATACACTCTTTCACATACATACACTATGGCCAATTTAGTGTATTCAATTCATCTATAGTGTATGTCTTTACACTGTGGGGAAAACCGGAGCAACAGGAGAAAACCCACACAAACACGGGGAGAACATGCAAACTCCACACAGAAATGCCAACTGACCCAGCTGGGGCTCTAACCAGCTACTGAGGCGCTTGTGCTACCCACTGCGTCACCGTGACGCCCTCTTGACAGAATATAATTGTTTGTCAATTTTACTCAGAAGGTGGTGCAAACTGATGTAGTTTGGTCAATGCAGGTCCAGATCACACATATTACAGTAAGTGTCGTTTCAATACTTCAGCCTGTAATGTCATCTGCAGTATTACATCAAGTTTGCACATGTGCTAAATGACAACAGTTTTGTCTATCAACATTAAATCCATAACTTTTGGTCTACATGGTCTGAAGACGATCTAAGTCAAATTTGGTGAAGATTGGACCAACGGTTTAAGAGGAGTTAAAATAAATAATGGTTGGAACAAAATCAAAATGGCTGACAGGAAGTTTGGCGGATTATGGCTTAATTGGTATCTGTGTTGTCGACAAGACCAAAGAATGTGCTATACGCACAGCTAGTGTTTTTCAGCCAATGATGAACATCTGGTGAAAACTTTACGTGACTATTTTCAATTTCACAGGGTTCATGTTACAGCATTTATGTTGTAATGCAATTTAAATATAATTAGTTAAATAGACTTAAGTATCTATTTGTTTTTTTAAGCATAAAAAGAGACAAAAGCGGCATTTGCAGCAGGCTATCGCAGAAACTCCATAAAAAAAAATAGATTGGGTTAAATCCCATATTTTTAAGACATGGAGCGGAAAAATATATCTTAATGCAGTGCTTCTTGTTTGGTCTGATACTTACTTTATATTGTATCTCAGTCAGGCAGTGAAGATCACTTTAAAAAAAAATCTGATCTTAAATGCAGCGATTCTGTATGGGATGACAATTCACTAGAAGCACTGAGGCAGGCTCACTGAAATTAGTAGTCCATGTGCATACCCCATTGTCGATTTCTGGAAAATAAAATGGAATAAATGTTATTAGTTTTATATAATAAATCAAATATTACATTTTGCTCAAACTGAGAATTTCAAGTAATCTCATTTTTTTTTTTCAAAGCTGCTATCTTTTGTGTTTGTATAGATTTAATTAAAAAAGGAAGCCCTAAAACCTCAATAAAGACTATAAACACATGCGGACATGTTGGTTAATATTTCATAAACTTGTCACTCTTTTGTATTAATTGATGCTTTCAATGACATCTTGACATGGTCATTAATCTTGTGTCAATGGAAAACAGCTGACACAGAGTGCGAAAGATCATGACTAGACTAAACACAAGATGTCTTTCATCAGCCAACAGACCTTGATTCTCCTGATAAAGAAAAGAAAAACAGCACAGATTCAGAAAACCATCTTTAAGGCTGATTAGCTCATATCAAATGTATAAATTAAATATTTAGCTTATAATATATACTGTGTGTCTGTGTATGTGTTGTTTAAGTTAAAAAGCTGAGACTATGGTAGGTAGGCCCACTGTAGATAATATTCGACAGAAAACAAAACGCCCACTTCTCACACACTGAGGAATGAGGAAGCAGAGCGTCTCAGAAAAGTGCCCCCTGGGTGCAACTAGTTTAATTAATTTTTATGGACTAGTCTAGAGAACTAACATAAACAAGCAATTTCGATCATTTTGACTATTTTCGACTGTTTTCTACCTTATTTTTTTAAATAATCACAAAATACATTAAATAGGTTGAAGTAACGTTAGGTTACATAACGTTTTGCAGAATGCTGAAGCTATCCGACCCAAATCTTGAATAATAATCTCTTGTCATTCGTGTTCATTTAATTGAATGAATCTCTCTGTGTGCGTGTTTGTGTAACGTTACTTTTAAACACACTTTCAAACTAATAAACTCCAGGCAGTCAAAAACCCACAACACTGACCTCTGGCGGAGATGTTGAATGAAGGTCCATTTAGGCACACGGTTACATATACTGTAAGACATTGTTCTTGTCAAAATAAATACATATAAAAACAAATAAAGAATGAAAATGAACTTTAATTAAAGTCGACGGTAGTTCACTTCAACAAAATGAAAATCCAAAGTGCCCAAGTTACCGTTTCCTCTGTCGTTGTTGTTGTCGGCTTGTTGCTATGACGTCGTCAAACACCTGAAGAGCGGAGAGACATGGACGTTACAATCTATTGCAGCAGTCTATAATAAAGTAAGTAAAATCAATAAACCACGACATATGATGTAAAGAAACCCATTAAAGCATATAGGATACACATATAACGTTATAGAGAGTAAAGAAAATATGAAGTAATGTGACGCGCGATACGATGGCTTGATAAGTTAACTGTTACTAAACGTAACAGCTTTTGATTCATTTAATATAAAAACAGATTACTAACGTTAGATGTGTAACGTTACTTCTGTTCACAGACACATACCATGTCATCTGACTTAATTGTGTCCAACCTGCCATTAGTGGACAAACTCATCGAGGATGAAGCAGAGAGAGCGATTCTGCTCTCCAAACCAGCATGCTTTATCATTATTGGAAAACCAGTGAGTTTTGAACATTTATTTTTAGTTTGTTCAAACGAGAACGAGTTTATATCTCTAATAAAAGAAATTAACATTGTTTTAACATAGAATTATCTGTTTTGCATTTATTTTCAGGGTGTTGGCAAATCTACTCTTGCCAAAAAAATAGCCAAGACCTGGAATTGTATCCTCATTGATGGTAAATCTCCAAGAGCCACATTTGATGATGCACTGCCATTATATTTTTCTTAATATTGGCATTTTTACATTCTATTTAGATACAGATGTTCTCAATAACCATATCAACAATGAGACAGATCAAGGTAAACAGGTAGGCTATACATAACTTTTTTTTATACAGTGCTGAGCAGTAATGTAACTGATTACATAGAAACTGTATTATATCCATTCATTAAATACTTACAATAAGAATATTAGTAACTAATATAAAAATATAAACTAAGTTAGTATATTACAGTTTAAAATGTTTATTTCTGTGATGCAGGTTGGGTTTTAAACATTTTTGGCAGAAGAACTCCTTTAAAAAAATATTTACTTGAAATATCTCTAAGGAAATTATTAACAGCATTTGCATGGTCACAGTTCTCTAATATTGGTTAATGGTCACATTGACATGTAGGTAAACATCAAATATTACAATTTTTGAGTGTTTGTGTTTAAGTAATTCATTTTTATTATGCAATTTTACTATTTAACTATTATAGCTTTTATCTCCTCACAAAGAAACTACAGTAGTTAAATTAACTATAGGAAATCCATGTTAGTAGCATTTCATGATGTTATAAAAAAGGACATATTTTCTATCCATTTTCTTTTGATAAGTTTAAAACAACTCAGAATAAAATGTAATTTGAGAGTAATCTAAAAAGCAGTCAGAATAAATGACCTACAGTGAGTAACATAGTTTACATTAGTAATTAGTTTCTTTTCATTAACTGATACTCAGTAACACTATAATTAGTTTCTAATGTGTTTCAATGGTCTGTAGATTCTCAGCAAACATTTCTAGCTCTGTCCAATAAATTTGTTTCAGCTCTTTAGGATTCTGGCTGAAGGGAAAGCAGTTCCAGAAGAGATGATGGTCAATTTAATTGTTGATCGTCTCAAGTCACCTGATATTAAACATTACGGTAAGAGTATGGCACAGTAATTTAAAAAAAATGGTGCAAATGAAACATGCATCCCATTCAACTTCTTGGTAGAAGTTTTAGTGTTCAAGCCTGAATTTATATGAGCAGGTTATGTTCTGGCCTGCTTGCCATCAATCTCAGAAGAGTACATGAAGATACAGGAGCAAATAGACCTGATTAAAACCCTCAAAATGTCTCCAGACTTCATCATCAACATCAAGGTTTGTTCATATCTTAATTTAATTTAATTAGTTTATTTGTAAAGCACTTTTCACAATAATTATTGTTAAAAGCAGCTTTACAATAGGTGCACATTAATGCATTACAATTAAAATAAAAAGATTAAGGATATTAGTTACCATAACTTTATTAGTTAAAAACTTGAACTAAATAACTAGTTACTCTTAACAGTTAGTGATTACATAAACATAGTTAACCTGCAGTTATGGTGGTTTAACTTTATCTATACTCCTCCTTTAAAGATAGACACTCCATATTTCATTCATATTTTTGCAATGCAATGCTGACAGTTTGCTGTTATATATCAGGTTCATTATAAATATAAATAAATAAATGTCAAATATGTGTGCAGTGTGCAGACAGAGACCTGATCCGCAGGCTATCGGAGGAGCGTCAGCATCCAGAAACAGGCTGTGTGTTCCCAAAAGAGAAGTGGGACCCTGACAAGAAAGAGTCATTGATGAAACAGAGCAACATGGAGGAGGAGGAGGAGGAGGAAGAAGAAGGAGAAGAAGAAACAACTGAGGATTTGGAGGTAGAGGAGGTAATTACAGCTGCAGTTCTCAAACTGAAACACAACGGTCTCAAGCTTATATCATGGAGGGCCGCAGCTCTTTATCTCCAACTACCTCCAACTTACACCTGCTTACTAGTCTCAAGTAGTCTAGAACACCTTGATTATTTGGATCAGCTGTGTTTGATTAGGGTTGGAGCAAAACTGTGCAGAGCTGCGGCCCTCCAGGAATCCAGTTTGAGATGTAACTTAAAAGCCCTCATATCCACATTTTTCCTGACCCTGCTGTAAGTAATTTAATTGTTTGTTTGGGGAAATTCCCCTTAAATCATAAGTGTATAAATAATTTATACAAATCTTTCGACTACAAATAATCTATAATAATCTATCTCTGTCAGCTGGACCAAATGAGCTTCATGTTTTGTTTTTAGACATAACAAATTTTGAATGGTGAATAAAACTTTTTTTCTTTTCTTTCTATCAATTTCTCCTGATTATTTCATTTTCTCTTTTGCATTCTGCTGTAAATAAATCTTTTTTTAAGGCAACTTGTAATACAAATTTGTGCTCTGCCAAATACATTTTTTTTAAATCCATAAATTTATATTTTTCACCCCAAATTCACACATCTTTTTTCAAGTTTGTTGTTGCACATGTGGTTTAAAATGTAATTGTCTCTCATTTTCATTTCTAATCATCACTATATATTAGCCATGTTTTTGAAGCAGGTTAACACAACATTGTCTGCCAAAAAGTTGCATATCTTTTTTAAAATATATTATAATAAAATCTGGTTATGCACCTTGTATGATGAATAATATTGGAATATGTTATATATTTAAAAATTAATTTAGGGAAAAACAAAAAAAGCTTTTGGGGTTAGTCTTGGTCTGCTCAAATTAATTTGGTAATGCTTTGTTTTGCAATTTATTGTTATAAAGCAATTTTAAAAACCTGCAATAAAAAAAGATTTTTAAAAGGAAAAGACCATACATAACTCTATTAAAGAAGGGTAGGCTAAATATTTTAAAATTGCATGCTTGCTTAAGAGAAAACAATTGCAAGTTTAAATTAAAGTTAGATTTTTTTATACACAAAAGTTTAATTATTACATATCATAAAATAATTTAAAACCCAGATGCAATTAACTTCAAGTGATTTTAAGTCTTCCTGTGGACTCATTTGAAGTTTGCTACAGCAAGTTTGTGCCTGACTTGAACAACAAAATACAGAGTGGAAACAGAATACAATTGCCAGTATTTATTCGCCTGATAATCTGTCACATTCTGAAGGTCTAAGTGCAGTTGAAAATCTGTGTTTAAGATAGAAGAGATACAGCTACAGAAAGACGTGATCGCACAGCTTGTGAGAGTGACCGAGAATTACCCAGAGAACGTCACCAGCAGGATTAAATGTTATAAAGACAACATCCTTAGGCCTCTAGAGGTAAGGTAACAGCACCTATTAAACACCTGCATATACACTATTACCCAAACCTGAGCATTAAGAGCAGTTATACCTATGTTTGGTGTGTAGGATTACATGGCCGGCCATAATCCCCCATATTTATTTGAGCTGGATGGAAACACAGATCCAGAGGAGCTCTTTGAGGTGGGTGACCACAGTCAAGCTGTAATGCTTGTTCTTGATAGAAACTACAATATATTGATAAGAAATATCACATTTGAATCCAACTAATTCTGAGAGAATAGCGGAGTCTACATCATGCATCATGAAAACTTATAATCATATCAACTATGAAAATGGTGAAATGCTGGAATCTTTTGTTGGTTTGTTTGTTTGTCCAGATGATGTATGATTTAACTTGAAAAGGGATAGTTCACTCAATTGCCTCTCTATTTAAGGTGACATGGTGGCTCAGTGGTTAGCACTGTTGCCTCACAGCAAGAAGGTCGCTGGTTTGAGCCTCGGTTGGGTCAGTTGGCGTTCCAGTGTGAAGTTTGCATGTTCTCTCCGTGTTTGTGTGGATTTCCTCCGGGTGCTCCGGTTTCTCCCACAGTCCAAAGACATGTGATGTAGGTCAATTGAATAAATTAAGCTGGATAAGTTGGCAGTTCATTCCGCTGTGGCGACCCCTGATGAATAAAGGGACTAAGCCAAAAAAAAAATTAATGAATTACTATCTATTTACTTGCCTTCAAGTGGTTTCAAATCTTTGTGAGTTTCAAATCTTTGTGTGTCTGTTAAACAGTAAATAGGATTTTTTTTTTTAAAAAAGCTGAAAACCTGTAACCATTGATGTCCATAGTAGGAAAGACAAACAAATACTATGGAAGTCAATGGTTACAGGTTTTCAGCTTTCTTCAAAATATCTTATCTAGCATTTAACAGAAACAAACAAGTAAAGCACTTGTAAATGATTACAGAATTTCCATTTTTAGTGAACTATCCCTTTAATCACTGACAGCCAATCAGAGTCCATCCTGCCTGCATTTAATAGCTTGATCATTTAATTTGGCAACTACAGTAAGGCAATGGTTAAACGTCCTAGGATACAAATTATAAAAATTATGTCAATTTAAATGTCTCGTGAAGTGCTTTAAAATGTGCATTTTTTAATTCTATGTTTGACATAATCTCAAATAAAAGATGAAGAGAGGGTGGGACATAGAGTAGCTCCTCCCTTTATAAAAAAAACAGCCAATAGGGTTTTGTTTTTATAACAGATCTGCCAGTGAGAGGGGTTGAGATTAAGTGCATCAAATGAAAAGGAAATGAGAAGCGTCTTGAAGGGCGCGGGACATGTCAGATACTAGGGAGCATTTGATTGGTCAAGATTTGATGAGAAACTGTTGTATGAAGGGACGTGAAAAATAAATGTTGATCCAATTTTGGTGGAAGTGACAAACTGCAAGCTTTTGATGTTTATATCTGTATTATATTTTCTAAACACAAATTCTGTAACTGCTTTGGAGCACACTAGCTTATAGATACTTTTAAAACTAACAGACTGAAACTAACATCTAAAAAACTTTATGGTAATTTCACGGGACCTGTAAAATAATAATAAATGTACTCACCCTCCACTTGTTCCAAACCTGTTTAAGTTTCATTCCATACATTTCGAAGAATGTTAGAAACAAGTGACTTTTATAGTAATTTTTTCTACTACAGATGTCAGTGTCTACTTCTCGGCATTCTTCAAAATATCTTCTTTCATGTTCAACAGAAAAAACTCAAAATTTACACTTGTCTGTGTTTGTCCACAGTCAGTAATGTCTCATTTGGAGTTTATGGCAGTGAGGTGTCCAGCCGTTCCTGTGCAATTGATGCCAACAGAGGACGCAGAGCTTACCGATCAGATGGAACCGGTCAGATACTGTAAAAACACACACCTTTATAAAAATGACCCTCCTTTTATACCCCTTATCATAATGTCTGCTCATGTAGGAGGAGCTCTTTCGGACTTTGTCTTCCTGTAGGAACGTTGCACCAGGCTTTCCTTGGCGAACGAGTCGATGGGCCTTTAACTGTCCAGTGGCTCTCAAAGAGGGCAAGGTCATAAAAGGCAAACCAGAATTCGCCGTCGGGTGAGTGAAAATACACTTCTTATAAACAGTAGTCAACATTCAAAGAAAATCAAAAATTGTCTTAGGACAAGAATAGGGGTTGTTCTATAGTTTTAGGACAACTTTGATGAAAGGTGGTGATCCAAAAACTGTTATCTGTTCTGTCTTTCAGATTCATGGATAAGATCTACGTCCTTTCGTCAGACGATGCTCTGCAGAAGTTCATGGCAAATCCTCGGTGTTATCTTCTGCAACCCAAACCACACGTGCCCTGCAGGGTGTCTGTGATAGGCCCGCCACGTTCCGGAAAGAGCACCATGTGTGGACTGCTAGCGGAAAAATATGGGGCGTTAGTGGTAGATGTCAGGGAGCTGATGGAGAGAAATCAGGGTTTGCTGAAACAAGACATGCTGAATAAAGTTCGTCACGATGCCACAATCGCAGGCCTGGAGAAGGTCAGGGCCAAGATGGAGCTTGAAGCTACAGGTTAGAAAGATTATAAGGATGCTGATTTGGTGACATTATAAACTCCATGGCATGATAGAATGAAAGTTTCGTAAAATGCTTTTCATTGTCCAAAGTTTAGACAAGACCATTTAAAACATGGATCTCAACTTGGATTCCTGGAGGGCCGCAGCTCTGCACAGTGTTGCTCCAACCCTAATCAAACACAGCTGATGCAATAAATCAAGATGTTCAGACAATTGAACAACTTAATTATTTGGATCAGCTGTGTTCGATTAGGATTGGAGCAAAACTGTGCAGAGCTGTGGCCCTTCAGGAATCCAGTGTGAACCCATGATTTAAAACATATTTAAAGGTCCTGTGAAGTGCTTTGAAACGTGCAATTCTCATTTGAATGTTTGATGAAATCTCCACTGAAACATAAAGACAGGGTGGGGCATATTGTAGCCCCTCCTCTTTAAAATAACAGCCAATAGCATTTAATTTTTATTACAGCTCTGTCAAAGTAAGCTATAATTAAAATTAGTTTAGTTAACATTAAAGTTAGTTAAGAGTAACATACTGATTCTAACACCTAAAAAAACTTCATGGGACCTTCTGTATTTCTCCATTTACTCCTATCGGTTTTGTTGATACCAATGTATGTTCTGCGCTTTAACATACTTTATTGTTAAAGTCTGTGTGAACTGTAGACCTTTATTGCAATATGTTGGTGTATTTCCAAAGGGGTATGTACATAGAGACTTTTAATTTCCAGTAGGCCAGCTATTGACCTTATTCTAAAATGCGGAAGTGCGCCAGTTTTCGTGATTGTCTTAGAACTTCCGATTCAGTCACCTATGAGAGAAATGACTAGGAATAATAAACGGCAGAAAACGGTCAAACTACTTGCTCTACAAACAAATGTTTGCATGACTATGCAGACCAAGTAGAATAATATAATAA